GCTTTTAAAAGCTTCTCAATTTTTTCCTTGATCTATGGCATCAATTCCGGTGAGATCCGCCGGGGGGCTTGTTTACAAGACTTAAAAGTTGTTCTGATAGGGAGTCGATGCTCGATCAAGCTTCGGTCCAACCCCAGAATCTCCGGATAATCTTAGGCTAAACACTCTATATGATTTCAAATTAAATCTACAATAACTCCTTGCTGATTTCACGGAAAGAGACCACTGACACAAATGATTTGCGGGGCTTCTTTCGTTCCTAGATTAAATTCCTCCAATGGATCCTGAGTTGTTAAAGATGATTTTGTTTTCTTCAAAATATCCGGCCATTCGAAGTTTCCATTTTGGTTTTGAATATCAAACCTCGCCGCCGTGTTTCTTAACCTAAATATTAATTGTTTAAAGAAAAGATTGCAAATACCTTCATATTCCGCAGTATCCAAACAATTTATCATATTTTTAAAAAACAAAGGCGTTTGCTGGATTTTGTTTAGCCATCAAAAGTTGTTCTCTTTAGGAGAACATATACCCATGACTAGTAAGCTTAAAACTCTTCTATGGGTAATCATTCACTGAGATTGCTTGAAAAATAGGTGGGAAGTTTCCTGTGTAAAAAACAGCCTCCTCAATAGTGTCTGAAGATCGGAAAGAACTTTTGATGGCTTCCATGGTAAAGACCTGAGTTGCCTTCCAAAATATCAACTACTGATAAAGCGAGGATGATACACACTGAAACGCATAAATCCAGTCCCTCCCTAGCAGAACATAATATGTGGTATCTGCTTCAACCACAAAAAAGATGGTCGAAATGGTTTTCGGGCCCACTTCTATAGGAGCAACCATCATGTCCTTTGGCTTGGTTGATTGACCAGTAAAACTTGTCATTTCGATTCGACCGGTGTAAGATCGGCATTGTTTTACCCAGTTTGTACAACATTTTAAATGGCATAATGTTGAACACCATACCATTATCAATAAAAGCTTTACGTACCGGCTTTCGATAGATATGGACATCAACGTAGAGGGGCTTCAAATGCAAAATAGCTTCTTCAGGCATAGGTGGGAAAATAATCTGGCCGTATTGGATTGTTTATATGGACTTAGCAAAGCCCATTCTTCTTTAAGCACTGGATCATCCGACAAATGAGCCCACACTGGCTTATCATCCATTGACCGAATGCTCAACATCCTTACTGTAAATGCATGGGTAGCTTGAGCGTGATTCTCCTTACAGTCTAAGAAGCTCCCCTTTTTGGAAGGAATATGCTTCAACCGTAGTAAATCTTGTACATCATTTGGTAAAAAATTCTCAAACTCTATTGGTTCAGGCTCGAATGCGGTATCTACCTCAGGATCCCTATTAACTCTGTAGCAAAAACAACATATGAAACTTCCCTTTACTTGTGTGGGAGGTCTCCCGTTTTCCATTCGGCTCAGAGTCCTAACATTCTGTTTGGGCGTTTCTTCCGACGCCTACCCACAATGGCTGTCTTTCGCGGCCTGATTCAAAATCACATCATTCTGTTTAGTCTAATCCCCCAATACTTGTTTATTTTAGCAGTTCTTCGGCCACCTTTCCTGCATAATTGCATACCTTCGCTTAGCATTCCTAATCTGCACACGGTTCATACTCGGGAACCTTGGGTCGATATTGATGGGGAGCGGTTTCCGATTCTGATCCCACATGTTCTCCTTTGATGCCTGGGGTCCGCGCATGGACTTAGGACGTACGAGTGTCCCATCTTTGATTTCGACTTCAAATGTGTCGTCCAAACGGTCTCACTTTTTGGCTACCCTGGTTAGAACTTCCACCATTTCCCTAGACTTATTTCTCTCAACCCCCAGAGTGACATACTTAAATCTCCCTTTTAGGATAGCCTTTTGTATTTTTTTCGAAAGTGGGTGCATTGCCTAGTATTTTGGGTAAACGTATTATGCTACTTACAGTATGGTCGCCCCTTGATCTCCTCTTTGGTAGCTAGCCGCTGGCCTTTTGGAATACGGATATATCCGTCAGCCAACAGTATATCAAAAATATCATCTGCCTTAGAAGTATCAAAGGTAGGCTGATCTTTATTTGGCTCTATCCCAGGTGTAGGCTTTAATTTGAGACAGACATACAGTTTCCCTTTGACAATTTCGGAGGCCATCTTCTATATTCCCTCGCATTAAGCTGTCTTAGGGGCATATGCGTCCACTCCCATAATGGCCATTTGTTGGAATTTTCCTCTTTATAGACTTTGGTCTTTTTCCATGAATAAAGATTCCAAACGCCCTGCCTTCGATGCAAGTTGTGCCAGATCCCTAATATTGTGGACTGTCAGAGTCTCTCTCAACCTGGTATGCATGTTACGAACCACCAGATTGGTCATCTCCCTCTCATCAATGATGGTCGGACACTTCCCTTTCATCAACCGGGTGCGCTCTATGAATTGGGATGCACCATCTTCGTTCATCTGCCTTATTTCCAATAGATCAGTTAATGATACTGTTAAAATGGGATTGAAAAATCTGGCATAGAAAGAAGCTTCCAACCCTTCCCAAGTTTGGATTTGTTCAGGTGAAAAATTAGCAAACCACGAGAATGGTGTCATTCTCAACGAGAGCCCGAACAACTGCAGTTTGTTGTATGGATTGTTACCAATCTTGCCGAGTTAAGCCATAAAACGGCCCACGTGCTCGAGGTAGAAAAGCCATCCTCTTCCAAGAAGAAGTGAAAGTCAGGAGGTCGGTAATACCTCAGGAGGTGGTGTTCGTTGACAATTCTCTCCGCGAATGGCCTCTGATATGCTGAGCGGTTCGCCATCTGAGGATTCATCCCGAAATGCATTCTAAGAACATGGACAACATTCTCAGGTAAACCCTATGTGGTGGGTTGTCATGTATAGGGATGTGATCATGGGCCTGTCCCCCCATGTGATCTTCCCTTAAATAGCTTAGTGGGGAAGGGTCAGTTCTTACTCCTAGTGGAACATTATTGGGGTAGGTGAGAGGTGACTTCCCCCTATCAATTCTGCTTGGAACAGTAACACTCAAAAACGTACTTTCAATATAAGATGGTCCTACGAAGTTTGCCTGAAGTCGAGAGGGGGACATTTCTGATGATGCGGGAACCGATTGGAATGTGCCTCTTGAAAAAACTTGATCCAACATATTTTGTATCAAATTTTGATGATCGTGCAACATTGCTTGCATGGTAGCTGTTTACTGGTTGTTAAATTGTTAAACATAGGTTACCCATTCGGCGGATACTTGAATTGCGAGGCCTGTAGACGGGATGGTGGGCGGTGTGGCTACCGTGCTTTTTGCTGATGTACTAGAGGCTTGCGGCTGAGAGCCGGTCATGTGGCTATGACTCTTTTCAATAATCCGACCGGATCGAAGTCGAATAAAGTTATCGCGGGACTTGTGGTTGGCAATCTTGTTTCCACTCTCACTGTGGTCACCAATTTATTGCCTAGAGATATTCAACAAAATAAAGTAAAATCCGAAAATGAATTTCGAATTTGATAAATTGTGCCCGAGATCATGTGTGAATCCCTAAGCACTAGATTTAATAGTACTAAAGCAAATATAGACAACAAAAAGAAAATGCAAAGATAGAACATAAGGTCAACAAGTTTGTGTTGATAGCATCCCGTCCTTCGGCCCCTGCGCCTCACTCATATCAATTCGCTCACACCGAGTCCGGACAGTTTGATTCGGTTACCTGATTATGGGGTAACCGCCTGACGGTTACCATGAACCTTCAACAACCGGAGTCGGTTACTTCGCAATGCACACACCTCATCAGTTTTCGGACACTCCAACCGTCCGAATAGTACCTCCCGACTTTGCAACCAATCAATCCGAAAACAAACAATCCACTGGCCCATCATACTCGCGTTTCAGCCTTGCCGATCCATGCCATCATATTTTCGGGCACCCATTTGACAACGTGAACCCATTTTTACTTTGCAAGCCCGTGGACCAAAATCCTAGATTTGAATTTAGTAGCTCAACACTTATATTGTACAACTTTTTATACAAATATCATTGTATTAGTATTATAAAACAATAATAATCCCTCCGTCCACACACAAAGTAAACATTTACTTTTGGCGCGGTGTTTAAGAAATAATAGTATTTTAATTATAGTGGGTAGTTAAAAGTAGTAAAATGATTTTTTTGCCCTTTTTTTGGTGTAAAAGTAACGATGTGATGTAAAGTAAGAGTATTTGTGGAAAAAAGTGAGGTATTTAATGAAATGTTTACTTCGTAATTGAACATCCCAAAATAAAAATATGTATACTTTCTAGCTGACAGAGGGAGTATTATTTTTGTTCTTTTTCTTGATCTGTATTATATTTTAATATAATAATTAATATTTAAATATCATCACACAAAAAATAAATGTAGCTCTTATATATATATGATCGTTATTATTTTTTAATTTACTATGAAATCCCAAAAAATACATTAAAATATGTGGATATTTTTTTTTATTTAGTGACATTTATAAAATTACATAATAGAATCAAAGGATAACAATTTAGATAAATGATGTAATTGTTTGCTTAAAAAATAAAAATAAAAATATTATTCTTTAGTTACAAATCAAAATATAACTTTTTACTGCACAATTTTTTACCATATATACTTTTTATTTAGTATAAATAAATATATGTTATATTAAAATATTTTTATTTTTTTATTTAATTTATAAATATATTACTAGGACGTCCAATTGTCCTATTTGTTTATTAAAATACAAATTTTAGGTTTTTACTTTATTCATTTATCACTTATAATAAATTTATTAATTTATACAAAAAAAAAATAATCATCTAAATAATTGTGTCATTATACTTAAGGACAATAAAAACTGGACAAAAGAAGTATTATATATACAATTAATTTATATGTAAAAATATCAAAACATGTATATAAAAAAAAAAGAACAAACAATTATAAGGTTGAATGATTGAATGATTGAATATTAAAATAACACATTAAAAAACACAGGCAACTAACCAAACCCTAATCGAAGTTTAGCCCACGGCGCACGTTTTGATTCACCCTCACCCGCTTCGCTTCGTCTCTACCTCGCCTTGCCTGCTCCACCTTATTTCTGCTTCTCCGACGTCGGCTTTGCCTTGCTCGTTTTCTGCCATTGTCATATTCGTCTTCCTCGACCTCTTCTTCCACCTTCTACGTCTTCCTCGACCTCTTCTTCCACCTTCTACGTCTTCCCGCCCTCATCTCCGTTAATCCTAACACACCATACATTCCGAAACAAATATTGGAAGGAAAAGCTGAAAAATGGCTGAAAATGGTATAGGTACAGCCTACATTAATATGCTTGATTGGAATTAATATGGCTTGTACAGTTCCACTCTGTTGGTACCTCAAACAGACACTCTGAAAGAAACATGCCTTTTTGTGTATAGGAGTTGGTATCTGAACGTGTATTGGGTTTTTATCTTTTGGCTCACTTTAACCAGTTGTTTAATTTCTGCTCCTGCTCCAGTTTCTCCCAATCAATCGTGGAATTGAATTGCTACCACCCACGGACTCACCAGATTTAATTTCGGAAGAGAGCTTCTCACTCAATTTCCAAGAAGTTTCTTTCCAATTTCGGTAACTTCGTATTGGACCTTCTCATCATTTTGTAGACAGTACACTTGTTTGTTCGATATAGCATTTCAGAGGAATGCAAAATAAAAATAAAAAATGGATTCTTTGGTAAGTTGGACTTGCTTTTTAGCTCAAAGTGTATTCGTTTTCTGTGAAACTCCTGGAAAAGTTATTTGTGCCTAAGCATTCATGAATGCTAATTAAAGCTGATAGTCCGGTCGTTAAAACTTAGTTTGTGATGTTGTGCACCATTTTATTTACTAGTGAGTTGTCTCTGGCATAGCTTTCGTGTAAATCCAAAAAATAGGTAGCACCATTCAAACTGTATGTATGTGTAATTGCATATTCTTAAAAATAGAATGGAAGCTTTTGTTAAACATTTTGATTCGTCATAGATAAGCTTGAGGCTAACTTGTTAAACCTGATAACCTTTACCTATACATTGGTCTTGCTGAATCCACAGCTTATTGATATGCATCACCACCTCTATGTTTTGTAGCGCTTGCCCGCCTTCCTGCTCCATGCTTCTCAAAACTTTTCTGCTGTTGGGTCAGAACACTGCCGCAAGACGCCCACAAGCCTCTAGGCCTTTCCTCCTCACTCACTTCTCATCCCTTGCTGGTGGTAACTGCAATTCAATTTAGTCTTCCACGCTATTTGTTTTCCATGAAACTGTACTGGTTGCCACTTGCCACGGGAGTTGTTGAATTTGGACAAAATTTACTACATCTGTCTCTTTTTTTTTTTTTCCTTTTTCTTTAGCCTTAATCTTGTGCCAGCGGTGGTCTTTTATCTAAGCTATTGTATGAATGATTGTTTATATAGTTTATAATCACCTGCAAGTTTCCCTTCATTATATATATTTCTCGAACCAAATTTTGTACACTTCCATTTTCTCCAAAAGTTGACTTGACAAGATGAACAAACTACTGCATTATTAAATGTTCATCAGTTATGGGATGTTGCAGAGAAGTTTTTGCTGGATCCCTCTTTTTTTTTATCTTACCTAAATATGAATTTGGGGATCCTTGCTAAGATATTTTTATCAACTGGTAGGTTTCTGGTAAAAACTAAACCTCTTTGTATCTGTAAGAATCATGTGTAGATCTTAAGAAAGTCGTTGAGTGCCTAAATAACTTTCTGATGACATATGGAAGTTGCACGTAAAATTCAAGTAACATGAAAGCCAAATAAACCTAATATTCGGACTTGGAAACATGTATTTGCCACCTTTCCCAATTTAGTTCACAGTTTCTATCCTTTCCTATTATCATTTGGCTTAACATCCTCTTGACCACCAGATAATTTCTTCTACTAATTTTCAGGGTTATTTTTATAGTCATTTGATCCCTGTGAAATCAGAAGATGCAATTTGTGATTTCCTATGTCTTATTTTGCACAAGCTTCCGTATTTTGAGTCTATGAAGTTGGTTTTTTAATTATATGGATTAATACTAGTTTAGACTTGATGTTTATTTCATTCTTGCACATTGCAGGTACTTCTGTGAAATTCCCAGAAATGAAATGTGACAATGAGAATGCTGTTACTCGTGTACTTTTTTGTGGGCCACATTTCTCTGCATCTCATGACTATACGAGAGAGTATTTGAAAAATCATCCATTTGTGAAGGTGTTTTGTATTATTAGATATGCTTTCCATTTAATCTAATTTCAGGGAGATCACACATCACCAATGTCATATCCTCTGAGATCATACATGCTTTCCCTTTCCCTTGGCGTGTTACTGATCAGTTTTGTTTTTTTTTTCTTATTCTGTTTTTATAGGTTGATGTTTTTCCCTTGGATGATGTTCCAAAAGTTATTGGAAATTATGATATTTGTGTTGTCAAAATGATGCGTCTAGATTCAGACATCATTGCGGCAGCAAATAAAATGAAGCTTATCATGCAATTTGGAGTTGGGCTGGAAGGTATACTGCCTTCTCCAGTGCTGTATCCTCATCTTGGCACCTTTTGGGCATTCATATTACCTAAACATATGACTTTTTGTGTGAAGGTGTCGATATTAATGCTGCTACAAGACATGGAATTAAAGTTGCCAGGATCCCTAGTGATGGCACTGGAAATGCAATTTCATGTGCTGAAATGGCTATCTATCTGATACTGGGTCTCCTTCGTAAGCAAGTTGGTCTAGTTCAATCTTAAAATTCCTAAATACCTTTACATCCACTGCTTTCTTTAGTCAGGGACCGCAGCCTCATCTTAGAGAGTCAAATCTCATTATGTTTAACACTTGATTAGCTAACATTTCACTAGCCAAGAGTATGGTGGAGGCCTATAAGTTGTTTATTTAACACTTGATCTGGTTTTGTGAAGGTGATTTGCTGTTTGTCTATTTTACAAAATTAATTTTAACCTCAACAATCAATCAATGCTTTCTCCAGAGCATTATATGCTATATTGTTTTCTTGTTTTCTAGTTGCAAATATTACACAGATAGGCTACCCTATTGTTAATTTCATTTAGATCTCTTTCATGATGGTTATCTAGAATATCCAACACTTGTTCTTCTTGACTTACCTTGTATTATTGTTTTTTGCAATGGCACAGTATGAAATGCAAGCATCTGTGAGGCAGAAAAGGCTTGGGGATCCAATTGGTGATACATTGTTGGGAAAAACGGTGAATTTCTTATGGTTACCCTCTTGAAACTGTTACACAACTGCATTTTTTATGTTACTGCAAAATTGAAAAGACTTCTGTTTTCTTGCACCTACAAAAGAGATCCTTTTCACTGCAGCATTGTTTTATTTTTTGAGTTAATATATTTAGCATGGTGTATAATACTCCTTTTTTTCCTACAGGTTTTTATCTTGGGATTTGGTAATATTGGCATCCACTTGGCAAAGCGATTGCGGCCTTTTGGTGTGAAAATACTGGCTACCAAGAGAAGCTGGTCTTCAGTTTCCCAGAGTTCACACAACTCTGCTGGTATGTTGGTTTGATATTTTAATAATTGTGGAATAAATATCAAATATAGTTGGTGATTTGTGATTAGATTCTATTCAGAGTCAAAATCTGGAAATGATGCCCCCATTGACATTGTGGACGAGAAAGGCAGTCATCAAGATATTCTAGAGTTTGCAAGCCGTGCAGATATAGTTGTGTGCTGTTTAGCATTGAACAACGAAACGGTAAACAGTGCATATGAGATCTTCTCTAGGATGTTATTTCAAGTGCAACTTTTCTGTGCATTCACTTATTTTGCGAGTGGTGAATTTCAGGCTGGCATTGTGGACAAGGCTTTCATTTCTTCTATGAGAAAGGTCTGGCTGCTCCTTTGGTTCTTGATATGGACTATGACCTACATGTTTTTACTTACTTTGTTTAGTACAATGATCGATGTTGTGGATCCTTGCCACTCTTAAATTGTTACAACACGTGCACATAAATGAAACCGTATATGTCTGGGTGGTTGTGTATCAGGGCGCCCTCCTCATTAACATAGCTCGAGGCGGTCTATTGGATTATGGGGGTGTGCTTCACCACCTTGAATCAGGTCACCTAGGAGGATTGGGGCTGGATGTTGCCTGGACTGAGCCATTTGATCCAGATGATGCAATTTTGAAGTTCCCAAATGTCATAATGACTCCTCATGTTGCTGGAGTCACAGAGTATTCATACAGGCTCATGGCTAAGGTACTACTATTACTGTTATTATTATTACATACAAAAATGAAACTCCGCTGCTGCTGCAACAAGGACAACAATGATTGATTGATTGATTGATTGTGACGGTGATGGTAATGGAATGAATGCAGGTTGTGGGAGATGTTGCCCTCCAAATGCATGCAGGAAGCGCCGTATTGAGTGGGGTGGAGATTGTTAATTGATTGATTCATGAATGAATGAATGACCATATTATTTGCTTATTCATCGTGATTTGGCGGGTGTTGTGTTTCTCATAATACAACAATAATAATAATAATCAATGAGGAACACCACGACGACTTTGATAAGTCGGCATGGTGTTAAGGAGTAGCAGGACTCCTATTGTTTTGTTGTTTTAAGAAGTAACCCACAATATTATGGGTATAGTAGAAAGAAATAGTATTTGTGTATGTCTTTGAAGTTATTCGTACGTACGCACTACATACATTATTGTGAAGAAGAAGACGAGGCAGGCAATGAAGCCTCCTCATGTTCTCCTCGTGTCCTCTTCGAGTTAGTTAAGGCCATTCATATCAAACAAATCTATAATGAGTTTTTCTACTCTCATCGTTTTTGTCTTACTGGGTAGATATCCGTTCATCTACCTATGTTAGCCACTAATGACTAGAGCTGTCGAACAAACGAAAAGTTTGCGAGCTTGGCTCGGTTTGACTCGTTGAGCACGCTAAGAGTTCGTTCATTAAGTTAAACGATTCGAATACATATAAATTTTGGCTCGTTATGTTTACGAACGAGTTTAAGTTTGTTCGTGGACAGTATTTATTAAAAAAATTAAATTAATAATTTTATATTTAATAAGTATATATATCTCTATAAATATTATATTTTACTTTATTTTTTATTTAAATTTACTAATAAAAATTATAATTATTATTAATTGAATTAACTTTTTAGAAAAATAAATAAATAAAATTAAATTTTCTTAATTAATCGAGCCGAATATAAACAAAAAAAATTGTTAAATGAGCTAAGTTTAAACAAAATTTCAGCTACTATCTCTTAACGAACAAATATGAGCTGAGCTTGAGTCTTTAACGAGCCGAACTCAAACATGACAAGCTCAGCTCTGTTCGGCTCCATTCGTCTACAACTATACACATATGACCAACAATGCTATTTCTTTACCACGGTCACAGGAAAAGTCCATCTAATTTTATATTGCATTCATTTATAAAAAACAAAAAATTAAGTTTCTTTCCCTACGTTATTAAATTATCTATATTTGAAATAATTTAAATAATAATAATAATAATAATTTTTATTTAATGTACACATTTATTAATATTGGTTTATTATTATTATTATTTTGTTGTTGTTTGTTGAAATATATTTTTGATAAATATTATTTTAGTTGATATTATTGTGATATTCCATAATTGGGTTGGTGGTAGACTATCTTCCGTATATGGATAAGTCGGTATCAGGTCATCCAAGATTGCATAGAGATCAAATAGATTGATTAAACTATTAATTGTTGTGCACTTTTTTTTTTTTTTTTTCTTGAGCTCTATTTAGTTCTAAAAGTAATTTTAGGACGAAGGACTCTAAGGGTGTGTTTGTTTGGGGGTTTGGATTTTGAGTTGGGATTTGAAGAGTAAAAATTTTGAATTTGAATAGTTGTATGATGTGAAATAAATAGGTGTTGATATGATGTTTTGAATGTAAAATTGATTTTTAATATAATATAAAAAATGAAAAATAGATGTTTGATTTGATATTTTTGGGGGGAAATTTTGGATGAATAGTAGGATTTTGTCTAAATCCTACAAACGAACACACCCTAATTTCACCTATTTGTCACTTTTTCAATGTATTTGGGATATACCGACCTTTTCATAGCTCAAAAGGAATTTTGTGCATCTTTTTCTTCGATGAATTAAGTTACGTAGATACTTACTACTTAAAATAGTCTCTCCCACATATTTTGTGATAGTTCACAACTTAAAAACATCGAATTTATCATTTCTTTTAATGTGTGATTCTTGCATTCAACAACACCGTTTGATTGATGTGAGTATGGTAGGATTACTTTATGAATTATTGCATTTTGTACACAAAATTAAAAAATTAGACTCTTATTCTCTCCACATCTGTCACTTCTAATTCATTTAATTCGTTTGTTAAGTTGAATTTTTCAATTCACATATATATAAAATGAATTTACTTAATGTCTCATATTTGATTCTAAGTAAATACAAATAACAGAACCTTGTATAATCGTCAATGAATGTAATAAAATATTTATAACCACGGTGTGTTTCTGCAATTTTAAAATCACATAAGTCACTGTGAGTCAATTCGAGTGATTCAGTTTCACAGTAAATTGTTGGGTGTTACGATCGAGTTTGTTTTTCTCTAATTTTTTTTTTTTACGTTTATGTTTATTTGATTTGAATTCGGAATATGATTCAGGTTAATTCTTCGACATATTGAATCATAATTAACATGACTTAATTGACTATAACATAAAGTAGATGACTCAACAATATAGGTAACAAACTTATTATTATTATTATTATTATTATTATTATTATTATTATAATACAACATTTCAAAAGTTCAACCTCTACATATCCATTACCTACATACACTTCTGATTTATGCAAAACAAAATTATCTTTATTTATATTAATATTAAAACCATGTTCATCACGAACAACCCTGAGACCAGGTTCTTCTTAACGTAAAGAACGTTTGTCAGCGTTACGATTCTTCCAGATGCCATCTTCAAAAAAAAATTTCCTCTTTCTTTGACTTCAGCAGAAGAAGCATCCCCCATGTACATCGTTTTTCTTTCGAAAAGTTCGAACAAAGAGAACTGATTCTTGTCCATGCAAATATGACATGTTGTTCTTGTGTCGAGCCATCATTATTTTATGTTTGATCCTACCAAGTTTGTCTAGGAGACAACACATGTAAGGTCAAGTGGCTCTTCGTTTTTACTAACGTCGTTTTCCTGGTTTGCCTATTTCTTCATTTTCGGCACCTTGCAATTTGTCAAACGGTGTCACAACTTCCCGCAATCGAAAAAATTGCCTTTGAAGCTACTCGTCGATTTTGCCTTTGCTTTATTAATGTCTCCAGATGACTTCAACTTCTCAGTTATGTGGCTTTGTGTTGAAATATATGGATATTGCGAGAATAAACTCTACCGTGAAATCGAGTCGAAGATGGATCCTCTTTCTGAAAATTAGATACGCCCCGGTAGTGCCTCCAGTGGCTGACGTTCTAACCCAAAGATAAAACGGTTTCCGTCTCTAGTGAGAGTGACACCTCTAATCGTTGGAGCTCCGGCGAACAAAAACGAGAGATGAACTGAGCTGGGGAGGTTGCCGGAAAGCTAGAAGAGAGGAGAGAAGCAGGAGGGAATTGTTGGTGTTGGTGTTTAGAATGAAGGGAACTCGGCCAAAATGGCAGGGGATCAATTACGATCATAATTACAACCTTAATTATCGATGTAATCTATTCTAAATTCATACCTTCCGTTTGAAGCAGTCGTAATTGATTATAATTACAAACTTTCCGTTTGTGAAGATCGTAATTTATTCTAATTTCAAACCTTCCGTTTGAAACGATTGTATTTTATTCTAATTTCAAACCTTCCATTTGAGATTATAATAAATCTATCCAACGGATAATAATTTATCCAAATACTACTGCGACTTAGGCTATATACCCAGGTTTAATTTGGGATTGCACAATTTGGTTTGTCTCGAGACAGGAAAAATAGCAAAAATATTAACCAAACCTCATATACAATAAATAAATAATATTTATTTATTTCTTCCAAATTAATCTAATTAATTTGGTACACTGGCCCGTCGCATTTTCACTCACAAAATAATCAATTGCCAAAATAACCGACTATCCAACAATCCCCCACATAAGTGGAAATGCCCATAAATGACAGAAACCCAGCTCAATCCCTGTGAGACATTGACAGATAGGACAGGTAGTTTTTGGCTTTGAACCTTTCCATAGTCAACATTACAGAGTGTACTAGTGGCCCAGTTGACGTGATGCATTGAACTGTTCCACCTCTGTGTGCACTAGTCAATAATATTGACGTGTTGCTATGTCAGTCTCAACTTTGTTCTCACATTTTGATCCATTTCGGCCATGGATCTCGTCTTTGGATTCATAAGTGTTTCGTCTGAAACGGCTCACACTTCACACTTATATAGACAATCCTATCTCAATGTATCTAACTCACACCTTTAGGATCATTAAGAGTCATTGACTCAACCGCACCACTTTTGCACATTATAATACTCATTGCTTTTCAGGGAATTGTAATTGAGTGTTCATGCCGGACTCTCACAACTTAGTTTTCCCATTGAACCACGGTTTGGGATTTCCAAGTGATTTGGTTGGGTTACCACTGTAATTTTCTCTATCTTTTGGATTTCAAACCCATTCCCTTTAGGAGTTTGTACATTTGATTTCTCTGCAACCCTTTGGTTAGCGGATCCGCTAGGTTTTCTATTGATTTTACATATTCAATAGTCTAAACCCCTTTGTTGATCTAATATCTTATAGTGTTATGTCTACGTCGGATATGTTAGGATTTACCGTTGTAAATTCCATTATTAACCCTTGCTATTCTAGCTTGGCTATCGCAGTAAATCATTACAGGAGGTACTGGTTAAGTCTAGTATGGAATATCATCCATGAAATTCCTCAGCCATTCGGCTTCTTCGCCAGCTTTGTCCAAGGCGATGAACTCCGATTCCATTGTGGATCGTGCAATGCATGTCTGTTTTGTGGATTTCCATGAAACGGCTCCCCCTCCAATCGTAAATACATATCCACTTGTAGACAGTCTTTTGTATTGGATATCCAATTGGAATCGCAGTACCCTTCGAGTACTGGTTGATATTTCACGTAGTGTATGCCAAAATTCAGAGTAAATTTAAGATAACTTAATACTTTTACTAGCTTTTCCAGTGTTCATGATTAAGGTTGCTAGTGTATCGACTCAGCTTGTTTACACGGCAACCCAGGTCAGGCGTTGTACAATTTGTTAAGTACATTAGGCTTCCAATAATTTTGGCATAGTCTTCTTAAGCTACGGGGTTTGCTCTATTCTTGCTCAAGTGTATGTTGAGGTCCATTGGGGTTTTCACTTGAGTGATTTCGTAGGCATTGAACTTTTTCACTATCTCTTCCACATAGTGAGACTGAGTCAGAACAATACATTCGTCTTGTCTTAGAATCTTCATCCAAGGATGACGTCGGCTAACCCCAAATATTTCATGTCGAAGTTATGACTCAACATGCATTAGACCTCATTGATCAGACTGACCTCTTTAGACACGATAAGTAGGTTGTCTACATATAGACATATTATGATAAAACCGGAAGGTGTTTCTTTGATGTAGACACTCTT